GAGATCACCTAGTCCACGGGTGTGTCAGGTGTGCGTGTGCGGCGTGTGCGGCGTGTGTGCGTGTGCAGCGTACCTGGCCAGGATCGGGGCAAGAGAGGTAGAGCATTTGGTTCTCGCCGGCCTCGCCGCAGGTCATGACCGAGGTTTTGCCGTTGGCGATGACGAAGACGTAGTTGCCGCTCGCCACGCTGAACACCACGGCCTCGTTGGTCGCCCGGGCGGCCTGGACCCCGGGCACGCCCGGCACGAAGCCGTTGTCACGCCACACCGGCCTGCCGCTCTCCGTGATCACAAAGGCCGAGTAGTCCAGCAGCGGGATGGTCACGTTGGCCGTCGACTGCGACGGCACGCTCACTCGCACCGTGAATGACGAGCCGTCGTCGGCGATGAACCACGACGACGCCACCCGGCCGGCCAACCACTCGAGCGAGGCGTTGACCCCGCGGAGGCCTGCACGCCGCCCCGATCGACGATCAATAGCCTGAGCGCGTCTGCGAACGGGTGGTGGAGTACCAGAGAAGAGGAGCACGTTGGAGGGCGGGGGCTGGAAGACGATCTGGCGGTAGCCGGTAGACGACTCGGGCTGGCGGATGCCCGCGAGGCTCTGATACAGCCAATCGCCCACGCTGCCGAACATGATGTGATTCCTGTTTTTGTTGTTGTCGTTGTTGTTCGCGAGTGGTGTGAGTGTCGAGCTCCGACAACAAACTCAATCGTACGAGGCAGGGGCGACGAACCTGGAGTCCATCGTGGGCGAGCCGGTAGGCGCATTCCACAGCTCCCACAACGTCGTCTGTGATTGTTTGGTGAAAGAAAGAAAACGAAAATGAGCCTCTACACACCATCACGCCCGAAGGGTTGCGACGCTCACGTACAGCAGGCGTCTCGACCGTCTGCGTCCACATGTAGGCCCACGAGGGGTAGGTCGTCTGCGTTGCCTGCGGGCGCGGTAATGAGAGTACGTCAATCATTCGCGCATTGCTCGATGACGAGGGCTCGCAGTTTTAGTGCGGCTTTTACCAGTTGAAGGGCGAGATCGGTCCGCCCAAACTTGGAAAGGGCCGGAAGCAGGTACTTGGTCCCTGCCGATCAGGGTGAGGGACTCGCCCAGAGCGAGAGCGGGAGCAGTAAGACGCATGACTGCCACGTACCCAGAATTCCAGTCGACAGGTGGGTCTTCTGCTTTACCACGATGTCGTTGAGCAGGTTCATGTGCAGGGCCTGCGTGTCCTTCTCGCCCGGCACCATGCCCAGCCACAGCGGCATAATGTAGCCTGTGCTCCCCCCCCCCCAAAGCCCAGGTTAGGCCTGCTGCGTCGACTGGCGACGTCGGCAAAGAAAGGCGCAAGGTGAAGTTGGCCAACGTACTGGTTTGCAGGGGCGTGTCGTAGGTGTGGTCGTTGGGGTTATAGAACACAGAGTTGAATTGCAGCACCAGCTTCTCGTACATCGTGCTGGTGGAGGAGACGAAAACGAAAACAAGTGAATCTGTGCTATGAGAAAAGAATGTGGTACGGCCAGGTCCAGTCGACTGGGCTCTCGGGTGGTGGAGGAGAATAGAGTGCCTGTAGGCGGCAGCGTCTGTAGAGTTGGGTCCGTACAGCGCCGAGGCCATTTCGCCCAGTACCTTAACGTTGTAGAGGTAGTACCTGCGGTGGCGCAGGGTGGGTGAGACGAAAAGAGTGATCATAGGGAATGGTGGGCGGTACCACGAGGAGGTGAAGGGAATGGAGGCCTTGGCCGCTGGCGGGGGCGGGACCCAGTCGCCAAAGTCGCCGAACATGCCCTTCAGGCCACTGCGCGTGCACCAGGGCCGAGTGAGCACAATGGACGAGCCATCAAACGTTTCAAGGTGATGGCGAGGTGTGGTGGTACGTTTGGCTGGCCTGGGAGTCCAGGAAGGAGACCCAGTCTTGAATGCCGTTGTAGTGCTTCCGCACCACATCAAGATCGCCGTTGTACTTCCACACCCAGTAGGTGACCAGCGGGAACGCCGCACCCCACGCCGGGTCGGCTGTGGTCGGATAAGGTCGAGGCGAGTGAGCCACAGCCCCAAACCAGCGATAGAGCGTCGCATGCAACGTACCCGGACGGCCAGGGAAGCGGACGTTGGGTACGACGTTGGTGACTTGCTTGTTCTCCTGGTCGTCTTCCATCAGGTTGAGCCAGTGCGAATAGAAGCTGTTGCAATCATGCAAGGTCGAATCAGCCTAGCGTACGTGCGGTACCCCACACTCACTCCCACCACCACCACAAAGAAAGAAAGAAGAAACGGACCTGCCCATGTCAAAGTTGTGCAGGGCCTCCTCGGCCGAGAGCTGGGCATCGGCGGTCCAGCCCAGCCGCTCGTCCCTCTGGTTGCAGTCGGTGGGCACCGACATGAGGTTCGACGCCTGGCCCCACCATATGTTCTTCTGCAGCCGGTTCAGGATCGGCGCCGGACCGTCGTCATCTGGCAACCGAGAACACGAACAGGAGGTGAGGGCGAGGTGCGGCACAGGCGCATCATGACGCGGTCTTACCAGAGTAGAAGTTGATGCTGCCCACGGTCGGTAAAGAGGAATAGATCTGGTGGCCTTCGATGTCGCTGAGAGCGGGGTACCAGAAATTGGAGGCCACCACCTGCACGAAGCGGAATCCGTGGTAGGTGAACCTTGACGCAGCATCAAGCGTTGTAGATTGCGAGTCAGCGGGGAACCCTCAAATCAATCACTTGACAAAAGAAAGACAGCGACCAACCTGGGCTCATAGACCTCGCCGTTGGGATCGCCCTTGAGAATGTACGTGTCTGTCGCTTGGGCTGTGGTCACACAGTAGGCCAGACGGTGTCAATGTGTGCCCTCTAATAAGCACAAAGAAGGAAGTGGTAGTACCAGAGCGGAGGTTCTCGAAGTTGGGCATGCCTGTGCCGTCATGGCTCAACACTTCGGCATAGCGCAAGGTTATGGTAGTGCCTCGAGGACCCGTCACGCGAAGCTTGCACCAACCGCTGACCAATCACACCACAGTCAACAACGATTGACCGAGCGGAAAAAGTCCCTTTGCGCGAGAGGTTGGCAACACCTGAAAGTTTGACCAAAGTCAAAGACGGGGGTGTTGCTCACAGGTATCGTGCGCGAGATGGGACTCAACACGTTCATCAGCCTGCCCAAACAAAAAGGAAGAGTCAAAAAGAGTTGCGTTGACCGGGAATCGAACCCGGGTCTAGTGCTTGGAAGGCACCAATGCTGCCACTATACCACCAACGCTTACGTATTTTGGAGAGAAAATAACATGAAATTCAGAAAATGGAGGTTGGTACTTGATGGGATCATCTGTGCGCTGAGCTTGCCCTGCGGTCCAGCCACCACTGTAGCATTGGGCCAATTGCCCTTGAAGCCTGGACTGCTCCACCCAGGTTGTTCGAGCCTGGTGGTCTGCGTGTTAGCCATGAGAGTTCCCTAGCGGCAAGGCGGTAGTGAAACGAACCTGGCGTCATAGATCTCACCATTGTAGACACTGTCGGAGAGAATAGGTCCTTGTGATCCGGACCAAGATCCATCGCTGACCAGCACAGTTTGTTGCCCAGATAGGGAGTTGACTCTCAGCTCAAAGTAAAGGGCAGGCTCGCCGCGTTCGCCTTGCCTATACCTAGTTATTGGGAAGCAGTGTAAAAACTACACAACAAAAAGCAATAGAGAACCGGCCGTACCAGCCACCTCCAAGCATAACTCCAACTGCGTTGATGCCCGTCCTATTCAACAGTTGGGTCACATCGTGTGTAACATATAGTACTCTGGAGGGAAGACCACACACAAAGGGATGAGCATGGTGAGTTGAGGGCAGCACGTTCACATAAAGGTACCTCTTGGAATAGTGTGTCCAGCCAGGGTCGAGTTTGTTCTGGCCCACCTTGTTGCCGTTGAGAAACAGCTCGTGGTAACCCACACCGCTGATCACGATGGTAGCACTCGTGAACCCCAGCGGCAACGTGAATTCTGAACAGCACGGAGTGGTGAGCATCAGCCAATAAGATGCGCGCCCATGGCACACCAAATATAACAGCCGTCCTAGCTCAGTCGGTAGAGCGCAAGACTCTTAATCTTGTGGTCGTGGGTTCGAGCCCCACGGTCGGCTATCACCTTTTTTGCCCACTGGGGTGAAAGACGTACCGCGTCGAAGAAGGTTGTTTTCCCCAATCCACTGCGGTGTGGCCAGTGCGCTGTTGGCCTTGTGCAGCTGTTTGGCCTCGTCTGCAGACCAGGGTAGGAGACCCGTGTGGAACGTTCCTGTCTCACTCCACGCCGTGGCCTCGCCCCTTTGATCCCAGCAGCGCACCTGCACGTGAGGGAGTGTCAACTTATGTACGCTGCAGCTGCCACCACTTTTTGGGGGGGGGGTGACGCACCTGCCACTGATAGGGCGTGAGCGAGCGCAGGGGCGGGCCTTGGTAGCGCTGGTGGGCGACCTCAGAGGACGCCACCCGGCCGCTGTCCCACACTACGTCAGATGTGCCTTCGTTCGTCCGCACTATGATCTGGTAGGCCTCCTGCCTGACCCCACGTCGTGCCCATTCCCTCTCCTGCACGAAGCATGGTGGTAAGAACAGGAATGACGTTGATCTGCAAGATCGATTGATCGATCGAGAACGCACAGGAGGAACATCTAGGGCGTCGAGGGCCAGTTGCCAGGAGAAGCGTGGATGTGGGTCATCTACTCCCACCACAGGGCATGGCAGGTACTCTACGCGAAGATGCGAGGGGGGTGGTAGTGCTGCAGAAGAAAGAAGAAAAGAAGAAAAAAGATCAGCTGCACATGAAGGTGTTGCACTTCACGTGGGTGAGCATCCTACCGGTGCGCTGTGCAAGGCAGCCACAGGTGCCCGCGATGAAGATGAAGGCCAGCAGCGCGAGTGGCTGTGCCATTTCGATGTGAGGTTTGTAGGTTATGAAGGGTAGGTGGACCACAGATGAGGCGGTTGTGGTTAGCCAGCGGCGTGATTGGCGCAGACACTCGAGCAATAACTGGCCCGCGCCAACGCTCAACAACAACCCATGGGGCAAAGGTCTCTATGAAGAGTTGCATCTTGTGCTTCGTCAACAGTCCTGACTTCAGTGGCAGAATGGCCGCTCCCTCGCTGGGCAGGTCCGTCTTCAGCCAGTGCTCGCCGCCTGGCATGGGTTCTTTCGTCTCCACCATGAGCGCCCAGGTTGACCCTGCCAAAGAGAGCTGGAGTCAGCGAGGGGTTGGCGGGCGCAAGCTGTCGTGAATCCAACACGTTACCTTCGGGCAGCGGCAGCTGGTAGGCCTCGGCCATGCTGACCTTGAGAAGGAAGGAGCAGAACTCCTTCTGGAGGTCCATTGGGTCGTAGGTGATGACGTCCTCCTCGCCCAAGTCCACTTCAAACACAAACCGTTCTGCGCAGAGGCAAAGCATGAGATAGAGATAGTAACACAACAAGGCAAGGTGAGGTACCGATGGGCATGCCCTTGTCATCCATCATGGAGGATCATCACCTTGTCCAGGGCATTCTGCGCAGGAGTTGAGCGTTAGTGAACACGCATGGCCCGCATTCACTCACTACAGACAGCTTCAGCAGGCAGGGACGTACACTGGCAAGTGGTGCCTTGAGATTGGTGACAACGCCGCATATGTACTCGTGCACTTGAGGCAGCCTACTCATCTGTACTGGGGTGTCGTACTTCTTTCGTCGTGTGAATGACTCTGCCAACACGCCTCCCACTCAGTCCACTTGCACAGTGCAGTTTTTATAATGGACATACGGCGTACCTCGTGGGTAGACCTCCCTCACGTACATGATTTGATGAATTGCAACCTCCAAGAACTCAGCCAGCACGTCCGCAAACTCTGAATTAAATCGATAAATCAATTATCTGTTCCTTCTACGTAAACACGATAACATGTACCAAATCTGTTCCATGACGCAACGACCAACCCATCATCGGCCATGGCGTTTCTTGATGGGGTTCGGCAGATCGTTCAATTTTGTGTCAAGCTGAGTTCGAGGAAAGGTTTGAATCAAAACCTGTTTTCCTTTTTCTTTTTTATTTTCTTTTCAAGATCGAAGGCCGAAGATGGAGAAGCAGGAACAAGCCCCTCACTTGGATGAGGAGCAAAGGAAGCTCCTCCTCTCGCTCCTGAACTCCGGGCCTGAAGCAGCCGCAAAGACCCTCAAGTCAAAGCTTACCGCGTCTCCCGGAAGCGCTACAGGCCTGCTCGATGCATTCGTTCAATTCCTCTTCTCTGCGAGCGATTCCATAAAAACGGAGACCGCTCTGGTCTACTGCCTATGGCTGGCGTGTGGCGGGACCAATCCCAATGCTGTCATCCAAAAGATTAAGTCCAATTCCGCGGGCAAGTCCAATGCGTGCGGACGCGTTTGGAAGAGTGGCGATCTCGCCTACAACTGTGCAGACTGCCAGTTCGATGACACTTGGTAGCTCCTCCCTGCCCTCACACATGATCAACTTTATCATCTTATTGTTTATTATTTTAATCAAAACGCAACACTGACGATCTGCTATTTCTTTTGCAGCGCCATCTGCGTTGACTGCTTTCGAGCGGGCAACCACGAGGGCCACGACTTCTCCCTGATCCACGTCGGTGGCGGCTGCTGGTACCAGAAACATGCCCTCTCAATGTCCCGAACCCAATGATGGGGCGCGCTGGTAACTGACGGCCTATCAATGCAGTGATTGTGGAGACCCTCAAGCGTGGAAGCCACAAGGATTCTGCAAGCACCACAAAGGTCATACCTGGTTTTCTTGCATGTACCAAGGTAGATGGTTACCAAGGTGCTGACACCGTTGAACGGTACACCTTGTGCACAGGTGCTTCGGAAGACGACGACCCAACGGAAACGCTGCCCACGCTGGTCAAAATGGCTTCGCACGTCACCTTTCGCTCCGTACTCAAGCATTGGTTGGCCATTCTCGACAGGTAAACTCTGGAGCGCCTTGTTCGCACTTGGTTGATCAGCTTTTCTCAACTCTGCGTGCGCGCAGGCTCTCTCAGCTGGAGCTCAATTCGGAAGAGAGGGAGGCCAAGGACGTGCAGACCGAAGAGGACAGCAAGCGAGAAGAGGAGGAGTCACAGGAGGAGCGAGAGAAGTCGACCAAGGCCAGCCTGATCCTCAACTGGCTCGCCAAGATGATCGAACACTTCGGCGACGGCATCCGGCGAGTGATGTGCGTGGAAATCGACGGCCTCACTCACTCTACAACCACGCTCAAGCGTCTGGCGGAGAGGAAGCGGAAATGGGCAAAGCCTGATGCGACTCGCGAGGGAGAACAACTGCAGCAAGAAGTCGAACCGATCGACGTGGACATCAGCGAAGACGTGAAGATGACCACGCTGCTTCTGGAGACCGACTTCATCCTGCCCTCGGAAATCAGCAAGGGCATGAACAGCTTCTATTTTTCGCTCCTCGGCGATGCCTTCTACAAGCGGAAGTTCGCCTTCTACTTCACCAAGAGCTACGTCTCGTTCATAGACCAGAAGCTGGAGAACGCGCTCACGCCCAAGAATGAGAAGGTGACCCGGCAGGCCAGGCGGGGCGACTCGGAGAAGTACGAGAACCTGCTCTCGCTCACCGTGCAGATCTTCACCGTGCCCAACATCGTGCCCGCGCTGGTGAGCGAGGGCAACCTGCTCGGCATCCTCATCGACAAGCTCCTGTCCGTGTTCAAGACCTACGTGTTCAAGAAGACGGCCATGACTGGATCAACCGCTGAAGGTGTGCACCTGGCCTATGATTCCAGTTTGCCGTGCTGCTGCTTGTCTCGTGATGATCTAGCTGACTCCATCCGGTTTGGTTCGAGCAGAGGAGCCAAGATACGCATACGTACTGGACAGCGATTCCGAAGTGCTGAAGAAGCGGGCCTACTGGCACCTCGTCTACGACCTGCGGAGCGTGCTACAGATCAGATCGGTGCCCAAGTGGCTGGTCTACACCGCAGCCGCCACGTCACCCTCCTCCCGGCTGCTGGAGAAGCTTGTTGAGGTTTAACCTCCCCTCAGCTTCTTCTCGATACGAGACCTGCATCGGCAACACCTGAGCTCACTCGTTCGGATCTGTGTGTGCAGGCCTGGGGTCTGCTGGCTGGCATGGACCGTAACAAACGCGAGGCTCGCACGCACGTCGAGTTCGAGTCGGAGCAATGGCTCGACGCCTTCACAATGGAAATGCAACTGTACGTCCTATTCGTTCAAAAACTACACTCCTTCGCTGCACTTCGCCTTGGTTTGTCAAGTTAGTTAACGTCTCCACACACACGGTCAGAACTCCGATCATCTACTCGCTGGGCCAGGGCCTGCTGGATGTCGGCAGTAACAATGGACAGGAGGGCGGCCAGTCTGTCGCAGACGTACACAGGGTGGTGTCCGCGTTCACGACCGCCCTCGAGGCCTGGTTCGCCGCCGAGCCCTCGTCAAGCCTCAAGGCAAGGGTCTGGGGCACGCCTGACGGCAGGACTGAGGAGACCCAGGTGCTCGAGTACGACATCGCCACGCAGGGGGTGTCGCTGCACCTGCCTCTGCATCGCGCCCTCGGCGGCGTACTTGCTGAGTCGTGCAAAGAGTGGGGAACCTCCGTGCTGGGCCTGCTCCCGGCGGAGGAGAGGAGAGACCGGCTTCTTCCCTTCGTATCCGCCCTTTTGGAAGGCCCGCTTCGTGCTCAGGTAAGCTTCACATCCCGGGCTGGGTCGGTGGTGGTGGTGGTGTGTTGAGCGTTCGCTTGATTTCTTTCTGCCGAGCACAGGTGCTTGCGGCGCAGGTCCGGAGTAACCTCTGGGTGCGCAATGGGCAAGCGATGGCCCACAAGGTGTCGTTGCTTCACGAGAACGTGCAAACGTTCGAGCTGTTCGACTTCGACGTCGCGCTCATGCAGAGCTGTGCCACCCTGTGCCACTCGATCGCCTCCGCAGGCGTGCCCCACTACTACGACTTCTTCGTCACCACCATCATCCACCGGTTTGGCCTGCACGATTTCTTCAACTGGAGCTCATCCGGCGGCCAGGAAGGAGGCGACTCGATCATCGACCGGCTCTCGCACTTCTTCGAGCTGAAGAGGGGAAGGGCGGGGTCGCATACAGCCACGGGAGATGACGAAGGCGCAGCCGACGACGAGGCCCAGTTCGGGTGGATGAACAAGGTCCCGCGCCAGCAGAAGCTGGCGCTCGCGGAGCAGTGCCTCCGGCTGCTCATCATCATCGCCAACGAGCGAGGCGTCGTCGGGAGCTTTCCTTCCTCGAACGACGCCTTCCCGCGCCTCCGCGACCACGACGCCCTGCATCGCCGCGAAGGGGTAACAACACTGAATTCCTCAGTCACTGTCATTAGTCATTGATCCACTCACACGTTTGGTGCTGGTGGTGGTCTTTTTATTGTTATGCAGAGTGCGGAGGAGAGGGACATCACCAACATGGAGTACATCAAGCGGGAGATCATTCACCGGCTCTGCATATCGCCGGCGACGCACAGCCAGGTGGTCAAGGCCCTGCCCAGTCGCTTCACCAAGGCCGAGGGCGACGAGAAGTCCTACCTCGGCGCCGTCGACGGAATTCTTAAGGAGGTGGCAGTCTTCTACCGGCCAGGTAATCCCGCCTGACCCCGTGTGTTGTGTGGTGTGTGTGTGTTGTCTAATCCATCTGTACAGAGGGCAAGAAGCAAGGCATGTTCCGGCTCAAGGACGATCTGTGGACGACGGCCTTTGATCCCTACTTCCCCCACTACAGCAAGCAGAAGGTCGAGAAGGCCTACGAAAACTACATCGAGCAGTTCAAAAACAAGGTACAAGAGCTTGGACGCCTTTTTCGTTCACTCGTTACGATACGCGAGCCCACTGCGACGTCATTGCGTTATCTCTTCAGAACCGCGGTTCGTCTCGGGCAGTTCCCATCGCGTGCCCACGCTTCCGACCCATCTCTGTGGCGTTTGAAAGCGGTACCTACCAGGCCTTTCTTTCCCATCCACAACCTGGAAGAGGTTACTGACGATGGTGGCGGCGTGTTTCAGGTGTGGCGGAGATCCTGGCATCGCCGTTCGTGTTCCGCATCGTGTTCAGCGTCCTCTACCAGGTGGTCCAGCAAAAGCGTCAGTCAACCAAGCCCGCAACGTCTGCCGCGAGCGGTAACAAGTACGGCCAGACGTCGGAGGTGCTCTTCAACGAGTCCCTGCACCTCCTGCTGCTGGCCTTGCAATGGCGCACCACCGCCGGCGGTGGTGCGCATGGCCGCCAGCGCCAGGGCGAGGAGGTGGTCATGGGCGAGGCCAGCGAGCACCGTCGACCGACCCCACGCGCCGTCGACATGTTCGACCTGCAGTTCAGCGCCAGACCCGAGGACCTGGCCCTCAATCTGTGCCGGCAGTTCGTGATCGGTGGCCGGCCAGACGCGGACAAGGAAGAGAAGCAGGAAGAAACGAAGGAGAAAGGAAAGGAAAAAGAAAAGGAAAAGGGAGAGGAGGGCATGGAGGTGGTGGTTGACAAGCCGGCCGAGCCCACCGTCAGCGACGAGCCCGAGAGCATCCTCCGATTCCTGGTCGAGCTGGCCGAGGAGGGAGAGGGCCTGTTTGACGAACAGCACGACGTGCTGCAGGCCATTCTCGCCCTGGCCGAAAAGTGTGACGACAGCGGAGAGGCCACCCGCTTGCTCCATGAATTGAGGTACTTAGCTTTTCGATTAACGTTCAACTCCGCTGTCATTTGAGTGCTAACGACTCATCTACCCTCTTTCATATAGAGCGAAAATTGAAGAGCGAAAGCGGCGCAAGAAAGCGGCGCAAGAGCAAGGCGCTGCGCAGAAGGATCGCGAAGAGGGACGCGAGGGTGAGAGCCTGCGGGAGAGGAAGATGCGGGAGGCCAAGGAGCGGCAGAAGGCGATCATGGCCAAGTTCGCGGCGCAGCAAAAGAAGGCGATGGAGCATTTCGAGAAGGAGAGCGAGAAGGAGGGCAAGGAGGGCAAGGAGACCAAGGACAAGGGCAAGGAGAAGGACCGGGGCGACGCCGCGGCCCACGCCGATGGGGACGCCGCGGCTGAGGGCGGTGACGTGTGCGTCTTCTGTCGCGAGGGCGACTCCGACGAGAACCCACTCTGCGTGATGGCCTTCATCCAGCGCACCAACCGCCTGGCGCACGCCGAGCGCCAAAGCGGGCGCGTGTGGACGAGGGAGCTGCGCAAGCGCTACTTTGGCGCGACCGACGAGGCCGAGGCCGCCCAGAGTCAGTCCAGCGGCAGCAAGGCGACCAAGCGCAAGGCAAAGGAGACCGACGATGTCCAGGCGAGCGAGGACGCGCTGGAGGAGGTGCTGGAGAGCATGGACGTGGAGGATGAAGGCGTGGAGAACATGGACGAAGAGGAGGAGGAGGAGGAGCACGCGGAGGCTATCAGCTTGGACGACGCGCGACGACTGGCCGAAGCCGGTGAAGGCGACGAAGATGAGGGCGAAGAGGACGACGACGAAGACGCGGAGGACTACGATCATGACGAAGACGAAGGTAGCGAGGAGGACGCCGAGGAGATCTACTTCGGCGAGCTCGACAGGGTGGACGAGCTCATCGCCGAGGCGGGCCTCGAGGTACTTCTTTACCGCCTGCGCTGCACTGCCCGGATTCGGCTGACTAACGTGTGTGTGCCTTGTCTGCAGGAGGACGAAGACGATGACGAAGATGACTACGACGAAGACGACGAAGGCAACGATCACGAGGTCATCGCTCAGGAGCAGGTGCAAAATGCGGTCATGCAGCTGATCGACGAGTACAATCGGCAGAGGAACCACGCCGGCGAGGAGACCACTGTCGACGGCAGTGGCGTCGGCGAGGCGCCTGCCCAGCAGGCCGAAGAGGAACAACCTGCTGCGGCGTCGGCGTCATCCTCATCATCAGCCGACACCAAGCCCGCCAAGGAGAAGAAGAAGACCGAGGCGCGGAAGCAGTTCTTTGCGCAGTGGTTCCGCGCCCTGCAGTTGTCATCGGCAGAGGTACCAAGACTGCGGTTACACCCCCCGAGTCGGGTAGTGGCCGAGCCCAATGTCTCATGCGTGAATCGCATCCTCCTCCTCCTCCTCTTCAGGGATCCGCGAGCAGTCTGCCCTCCCACGCGCACAGCACCTCCTGCGGTCATTACATGCACGGTGCGCACCACCACAACGTCGCCTCACTCACACAGGCCACCTTAGTATGCTAATTCATGTGCGCTGCGTGTTGGCGGGTTTTCACGGGCAGCGTCGTGCCGACATGAGTACTATGTCACCCAGCTCAAGACCATGCTCACCGATCCCGTCTTCGTCCTCATGTCGCCCCTGGACGTCGCCAAGGGCGAGTTCGCCTGTCCGCTGTGCCGCTCGGTGGTACGCACCACATGCGGTACCGTTCCGTGGCTGCTGCCATGTACTGAAGAAATGTGTGGGTGCCATGCAGGGCAATGCGCTGGTCCCATTGGCCGCGCCGCCATCATCGCCTGCCCACTGCGAGCGCGTGGCAGTGCCGGAGCGTCGGCTGGAGCTGTTTACCGACCATCGCAGCTTCGATGCCTGGGTCGACAAGAACGTGCGCCAGGAGGCCACATCGCCGGTCGAAGCCACGGCACCGCGCTCCGAGGACTCGTCATCGTCGGCGCCGACCGACCGCAAGGCCTTCCGCGACACGATGGCCGACTTTGTGTCGCGCGTCTACGGCGTCGCGATGGAGCTGAGTCCGGAGAACGTCGCCTTGCCCGCGCCCTATCTCACTCCCTTCGCCTACGCGCTCTTCCCGTCGCTGATCGCTTCCGCCGAGCTGATGCTCCGACCGTCGATCCCGGCGCTCACCCTCTCCTCTACCGGCGGCGACCAGGCCTTCGCGCCCGACTACGCCGTGGACCGGTGGGAGGCCCTGCGGGGCGTAGTCGACGGGACCCACCGCCAGAAGGAGGCCGACTACATGCGCACCGTCATGACTTCCCTCTTCCGCCTCGAGGAGCTCAGCTCCAGCTCCAGCTCCAGCGCCGCTGCTGCCGGCGATGCCCTGTTCGCCCTGCGGAAGCTCATCTTCGGCGGAATCCCGCCCGTCCAGGGCCAGGGCGATGACGCCGCGGTCGCCGACCCACTGCGCATACTGGGCGAGCTCAAGCGAGGCCCGGGCTCGGCCGACGATGGTGACGATGAGGAGGAAGACGAGAGCCGCATGCAACCGTTCCTGTCGACCGACATGTTCTCGCTCTTCGTGCCGGTGGTGCTCCTGGAACAGCGCAAGCGGCGCCAGACCGGTACTGAAGGCGGCGGCGGCGACGAGCTCGACAACCTGCTGCGGCTGCTGCTCGTCGGCACCGTGCTGCAGGCCCTCGTCACGATCGTGCAGCAGATCACGGGCGATCATCGGGGGACGAAAAACAGCGACAGCGCGGCGTCCAGCGGCAAGCAGGATTCGCCGCTGGAGACGACCCTCAAAGGCGTCATCGACGCGATGAAGAAGGCGATGATCGCTTCGGCTCTGGCGCCGCCGTTGTCGCCGGCGTCGACATCGGGCGGGGGTCTGTCCGCCAGCTTCTCGCCGGCCCTGTCGGCGCTCGGCCGTCTGGCCGAGGGGGTCGTCTTCAACGGCGCGCAGCTCGCGGGCGAGGTCAAGCGGCTCTGCCTGCCCTTCCTCTACCGCGCAGTCCTCTTCCAACACTTCTGCCTCACACGCCCACTCAACCTCAGTACTTTCCTTGGTCTGCATGTCGTGTATCATTGCGTGTCGTGCGTGTCGTGCGCTAATGTGACGATCGTCTTTAGGCGGTAGGGAGGTGCGAGAGGAGGAGGAGGAGTTCGCGGCACTGCTCGCGGTGCTGGGGCTTCCCAGCTCGTTGGACGATCTGCTGCTGTCGCCCCCGTCGGGAGGCGGTGCGCTCTCCCGGCTCATCGCCGAGTGGCTCGACGACTTCTTCTCCTTCCACGCCGCACGGCAAAAGAGGGATCTCGCCGACGCCGACGCGGACGAAGCGGGCAGCACGGTCCGCTTCCCGCTTCCTGCCGAGCCGCTGCTTGCTCCCGCCCTTCCCTACGAACTGGACCGGTGCGCCTCATTTCGCTTTCGCTTTCGCTTTCGCTCCCCTAACAACCATCACACGCAGATCGGCGCTGCCCAACATGTACCAGAACATCCAGTACTTCAAGTCGGACGAGAAGCAGCGGTGCGGCGTCTGCGGTACGTCACCCCGGCAGCCGGCGCTCTGTCTTCTCTGCGGCGAGTTCCTGTGCTTCGCCTCTCGTTGCTGCGCCGGAGAGGAAGGCTCGGGCGAGTGCAACATCGTACGTCCTTTCATTCTGCCCTTTCATTGGTGTTTGGTTGCTTGCGTGTTGAAGAATGTATTGACATTCACTAAACGAACGTTGTGTTGCGCTACATACAGCATGCGCTCCGCTGCGGTGCGGGCGAGGGCATGTTCCTCTTGCTCAAGGAGACCGCCGTGGTCATGCTGCGCTACACCATCACCGGGTGCTTCTACTCCTCGCCCTACCTCGGTACCGTCGCTTGCCCCATCTTTCCCGCTTCCACTGCCCCGCACACTCACTGTGGCGGCCGTGGGCCACTTCCAGACGTGCACGGCGAAGAAGATTCGGGCCTCAGGCGCGGCCGGCCGCTCTATCTGGACATGGACAGGTACCAAGCACTGCGGGACTTGTGGCTGGGCCACCAGGTGCCCAACGTCATCTCCAAGGAGCGGTCAGGGCAGGCCAACACCGCCTTCTCCCTCATCCAGTGGCACCGCATGTAGGCCCCCAGCACCGAAGAGACAAAATAAACCCCCTTTGGTGGCCGTCCCCCAGGTAAAGGTATTGACTACCTTGAGATGATGGCCTGTGGGTCGTGGCTGCCCATTGCTGCCGCCCCAAGACACACGCCACACACAGAAGTGAGGAACAGGTGGCTTTGAATATATGGAATTCCTTGTGTCGACAGAAATTTAAGTCCGCTGAGCCGAAAAGATCTTTTTTTCGTGGCGGCAACCACCGTTCGCACGAAAAGATGGAAGAAAGAATGAATGGCGCAGGATAGCCGAATACTGTGTGCTCAAATAGCCACGGGCAGGCGAGGCTTCAAACCAACTCAAGGCCTACCTCGAGGCAAGACAAGCAGCAACCAAACCACAGCAAACCAAATGGCTGAGTATCAGGCGATCAAGTGCGTGGCGGTGGGCGACGGTGCGGTGGGCAAGACGTGCCTGCTCATCTCCTACACGACCAACGCCTTCCCGGGCGAGTACGTGCCCACGATTTTCGACAATTACTCGGCCAACGTGTTCTACAACAATCGCAAGGTCATCAATCTCGGCCTCTGGGACACGGCCGGCCAGGAGGAGTACGACCGCCTGCGCCCGCTGTCCTATCCGCACACCGACGTCTTCATGCTCTGCTACTCGGCCGTCAATCCCGTGTCGCTGGCCAACATCAAGCAAAAGTGGCTGCCCGAGGTGCGCCACCACTGCCCCGAGGCGCCCATCCTACTCGTCGCCACCAAGAGCGACCTGCGCGACGACCACCGCGTGGTGGCCGAGCTGCGGGCCAAGCTGCCGCCGGGCGTCGAGCCGTGCGTGGCCACCGAGCAGGGCCGCAAGCTGGCCGACGAGATCGGGGCCGCCGCGTTCGTCGAGTGCTCGGCCCGAACGCAGGACAACCTCACCCTCGTCTTCAACGAGGCCATCCGCGTCGCCCTCGAGCCGCCGCCTGCCAAGAAGAAGAGCGGCAAGCGCGAGAAGAAGTGCTCCCTCTTCTAGAAAAGGGCACCCGCCACTACATTCTACAACCCGCCTGTACATACGAAGAGAAGAGGAAAAGGAGAGAGAAAGCTGCAGCAAGACACTCGAGGAGACGATGATGAACCTCCAATTTTGTAACATGGTCTGGCAGCTCAGAACACTACAATACAATCAGATAGTGGTATAGTACTCCTATGATCATACCTCTGTCACACTACGTTCAGCTGTTGTCGGGCTCGAAGAGGGGGAAGTGGGCCTTGGTCCAGAGCCGCACGTCCTTGGTGCTGGGCCGCAGGGGTTCTTGGGGTCGCCCGCTGGTGCGGTGGTTGTCGCTTGATGGTGGGAGTTGGGCGTTGGCTGTGGTGTAGAGGCTTCGGTGGTCGAGGAGGTGGGTCCACAGGGAGTGGGTGGCGGCGGCGGTGCGTTCGCGCACGCGCTCGGACTCGCAGTCGAAGAGGAAGGTGCCAAAGAGGCACGAGTACGAGTGGTCGAGGATCGCCTGCAGGAAGCTCTCGCCGAATTCAAACGACGCCGGGAACTGCAGCACCAACTGGTACACGCACTCGATCCTACAAATGTTACACACCACTCTCAAGTGAGTTGCTCTTGAGCGTGTCGCGTGTGTCGTGTTTGTCATGTGTGTCATGTGTGTCATGTGTGTCTGTATGTTGAGTGTGCGGGAGGAAGGTGTAAACCATTGAAGGAAAATGGGTGAGCGCTGCTTGTCTTTGTGGTTGCTATCGCCGTGTCCAATCCTCTCCCCAAACTTGTGCCCTGTGCCAAGAATGAAGAAGAACGAAGAATGAAAGAACGAAGAACGAAAAGGAACGAAGAGGTTAGCAGCATCTGAGATGAAAACCAGCGCCCGAAGCATAAGCCCAGACCCCGTACCGAACGAAAGCCAGTCCTTCTCGATGAGGCACATGAACCCTTCAATGGAGCGATAGTAGTCGTCGGCCAGCAATTGCACCAGCGACGTGAGCTGCGGCGTGCGATCCCACCCATCACTACGCGTGCACACACCAATCCGCAACGCAGTGAGTCCCGGCACCCAGCAACAAGCCAGCGAACTCAATGTGCGAACGAACCTGCAGTGAATGATGACTGTCGTGCCGCCCTGCATGCACTCCAGGATCTGCATGGCTGACGACAGCAGCAGAGACACGTGCGAGAGCCACCCGGCCGTCTCCTCGCGCTGCGAGAGCCACACGGCAAAGTCGGGCACCGTCGCGCCGGCCTCGGACCTAAAAACAACCGGCGCCCGCTGTGAGTTTGCGCCGAGGCTGGGGAGGGGTTAAGGGCGCGTCGGCGTACAGATAAACGAAGGGCAGTTTGGCGACGCGATAGAGGGCGTCGCGCATGACGTGGATGTTCTCGATGCCCAGGAATTTGCGCTTGGCCTTGCGGTAGTTGGTGGTCTTTTCCATTCCCGCGCCCGCCAGCTGGTTCGCCAGCGCGTTCATCAACGGCCTGCCCCCAGGGCTAATGCGTGAGTCAACGAGGAGTGAGAATAGTGGGGGGGGGGAGTTAGGGTACCGGGCGTCCATGATTTGAATGCTGGGCTCGAGGCTGGCGGCGGCCCGGGAGCGATCGGAGGAGCCGCTCGGGGTCCATGGTCGGCGGGTCGAAGCCGTCGCAGTGGCCGATACGGTGGAGGCCACCGACGCCGCCATCATCGACATCATCGGGAAAGCCGAGTACGGGGTCGAAGAAGACGATGACGACGAAGATGGTGGTGGAGTATAGAGTGGCGACACGAAGGAAGAAGTGGATGACGAAGCGGGCGATGATGACGAAGAAGAGGCAGTGATCACTGGAGAAAAGGAAGAGAGACGAATGGCGTCGACGATGGACTCGTCCTCCTTGCACGTCACTCCCGTCAGACCGCTGCGGGGCTGCGAGCACCTCACGAGTACGGCGCCGGTGGCGGGGTGGCGCCACACCACGGCAGGAAGGCGCCCCTTGCTGCGGTACTCGGCCGACGCCTTGAGCGCCTCGTCGGTGATGACGCGAGGCACTATTATGTGACTGCAGACAGCACATGAAAAACGTCAACATTCACACTCGTTCGGGTGTGCGTGTGCGTGTGCGTGTGCGTGTGCGTGTGCGTGTCGCGAGGGGTGCGAACCTGGGGTAGGTTTCGGAGAGGGCGTAGTCCGCGTTCGCCGCCGAGAGTCGCCAGGCGCCGCCATCGCCGGCGCCCTCGTTCAGGGTAAGTAGCCCCAGGCGGGTGTACTCGGTCTGCGGGTCGTAGACGACATGCCCGCTGTCGGAATCCTTGGCCGGCCCAGGCGCCGACGAGGCGAGGAGCGCCTGCTTGTGGAGATAGGGCACAAATTGGAGGGGGTTCTCGGGGAAGCAGAGCTGGTTGATCTTCTCCACCACGATCGCCGCGTGGTCTGCGGGCTTGGGACTCCCGGGCAGCGTCGACTGCGCGCATGCGAGACGAATGTGTGAGACCACGCACACTGGTTTGTGCGTGTGCAGTGGTGTGCGTGTGCGGTGGCGCCTGTGTGTGTGTGTGTGTGTGTGCGGTGGTGTGCACATGTGTGGTACCAGCTGGATGATGTTGAAGTCTTTGAGATGAATGTTGAACTGGAAGTACTTTCCGCCCAGCTGCGCTTCCTCCTCCTCGACATGAGAGATGTGGCCCAGGCTGATCTTCCAACCCCTGCACCGTTGCCATTTGTTTGCTGCGATGGTCAAGATTCAAGAACTAGGGGTTACATCAGGACAGTCACAACGTACCGTGCCATGCGCCAGCCTCGTGCCGTACGAGACGATGCGTCCTGTGGTCCACAAGAGGCGGTTAACACCAAAACGTCGAAGGCACCTGGGCACGCACGCTTGAGTCGAGGGGTGCGAACCGTTGTGTGGGCAGCTTGAGGACGGAAGATGACGTGGTAATTTGTGAGCCAGACGGTGCCCAGCTGACCAGTCCCTACACCGCACACCGCCGGGTCCGTGTGGGAGTTGTGGGGTGAGTCTCACGATGGTGCCTTTCATTACGGAATGCAAATTTAACTCCGAACCTTTGGAGAGGAACGCCATGTCCTCGAGAGTGAGCACGAGCTTCTCGCCGGGCCACAGGTGGTCGTTCAAGCTGGTCGACGGTGCCGCGGTTTCCTCCGCAATGGCCTGGTGGGCGGAATGGGGTCGTGTTAGATGCGCTGCGTTGCGCGTGGCGTTGGGCCTGTGTGATGACGCAGTTGTGTTGCGTACCGCGGCGATGCGTGAGAGGGAAAGTGCAGTGTTGGTGCGCACGAGCTGGCGCAGCTGCCGCTTGTCCTGTTTGAGAACGGTTTGGCCAGAGGCCTCTTCGCCCTCCTAACGGCCCAGCTTAGATTGAGTGTGCCCAAGTTCGTTTCCAAACGGGACGAGATAGGCGTACGTCGGCGCTGCTGGGCTGGAACGCGGAGATGATTTGCGACGACACGCTCCGCTGTTCCAACTCCTCGGCCGGCACGCCCAGCGGGATCAGCTGGAAGCAGGTGGCCTAGAGGCGAACCAAGAGTTGGTCGGAGTTAAAAAACATCACCACTCATCAGCTGTAGAGGGCCCACGAGCGTACCTCCTCCTTGGTCTTCTTATCGCCGATGAGGTCGCCCGCCTTGTTTCGGCCGCCTCTAAACCGGAGGTAGCACCCGTACCAGGTCTTGATGTAGTACTGCCCCACATTACATTTCACACACGCCGGGGCTATCAGGATTGGTTGGCAGAAAGATATTTAAAAAAATAGAGAAAAATAGAGATTGGAGGTGTCGGGGTTTGTTTTTCTGTCGAAACACGCACTCTGTACTCGCCGTCCTCGTGCGGCTGGAGGGTGAACATCTCCTGCGGTCCGGCCGTCCTCGCCAAGGCGCTCACACTTCCGTCCATCTCCACCGACAGATAACTGCAGCAACGCAGGGGAGTGAAGGAATCAGCGATGCGGAGAACGTTAGGTACGATGAGGGCAGGCGCCCACCGTGGGCCAAACGGTACCGTTTGTTGGGGGTGAGGAAGGCGGCGCCCTGATGGCCCATCTCGAGCAGGAAGCACGAGGATTTGCCCAGCGTCTCGCCGCCCATCGCCTGGAACTTGCCCGCCTTGGTGCACGTGCAGATGAGACCCGAACCGACCAGCCGCACTCCCACCTGCTCCGACGATCGTCTTCAGCGTTCAGTCACACGTGGTGGCCAAAAGAGGAGGACTACGAGGCCACACGCGCACCTTGATCGCCAGACCGAAGGTTTCGTTGGGCGTGGGCTCGTTCAGCCGCCGAGCCACCACGCTCGTTCCGATCTGCAGCCAGGCCATGTAATGAGATCAGAGCATACATATAAGCGCCGAGGCGAATGGAGCAATGGACGCACCTTGCCTCTCTCCTCGCCGAGTCCGACGTAGGTTCGGTAAACACTGCGCAGCGCGAAGCGGCCGTCACCGACCGGCACCGGGGTGAAGAGCTCCGTGTCTCGCGGCGTCATCACCGACCTGCAGATTATACGTATCAATCAGCCCAGACCAAAGGTGTGAGCCGACCCACGACCACGCCTGCAATGCAATACAATACAGTGCCATGCGGAGGAGCGTGGGCGTACGCCAGGCTGAAGGAGCCGTCCTTCCGCTCGACGCTGCAGTACACCCCATTGGCGGCCTTCAGCGCCACGCAATCGCCCGAGTGGTCGGCGGCCGATGCGGTGGCGACCGATGAAGTGGAAGAGGCGCGCTGGCCTTTGTGCCGCCACTCGGCGGTGAACAGGTACTTCTGGCCCGCCGACTTTGCCCCGGCGGTGGCCGAGGTGGAGGGCTCGACGTCGAGCAGGCGGGTCAGCGGGTAGTCGGCCTGCACCTGCTTGGCGCCCACCGTGCGCACGAACCGCTGGGCGGCCTCCGACTTGAGCGCCACCCGCGGGAAGTCATGGAAGAAGTGCAGCCAGTGCGGCGACGTGATCGACGAAGAAGAAGAAGACGAAGACGACGATGGTGATGGTGCGGAAGAGGACGATGATGAAGAAGAGGAAGCAGCAGCAGCAGCAGCAGGTGGTGGTGTGGATCGTAGGACAGCAGAGGGAGAAGGCGGCGGCGATGGCGACGCTGCTCGCGCCAGCGGAGGCGAGGCCTGCTGTGGCCTGGCGGCCGGTGCGGGGCTGGCGTTGAGGGGTGGGAAGGAGGAGGGAGGCTTGCCGCGGGCGAGCCCAGAGGAGAGTTGTGGGCGCAGCACGGGGGGCGGGCGGTGGGGCGGTGGCGGCGGGATGATGGCGGTGCCGCCAGACACCAGCACGGCGGGAGCGGAGAGAGGTGGCGAGGGAGTGGACGAAAAAGATGAAGGAGCAAAAGATGGAGAGGGAAAAGTAGGAGGAAAAGGAGAAGCTGAAGTCGGGGTGGAAGAAGAAGAAGATGGGGAACAGGAGGGGGTGAGCACGGCAGAACCTGCGGCAAAGTCAAACACGGGAGGTGCAGCGATTTTGAGGGCGTTCCTGTTCTCGCGCCTCTTCAGGGCGTCCCCGGTCGCCGAGCGCGTGGGCCGAACCAAAGGCGCCTCCGCCCCCTCCATCCACGTCTGTGTGTTCTCACAGTTTTTTCGGAACCTAAATTGAGTTCAACTTAAAATTAAGTCGCCAGGAATGTTAAAATGCTTCGAAATCCGAAACTGCAATGTCGGATGGCCAAAACTGGATTATTCATGGAATTTGGTGAGAGCTTGGTTTTGCTACGCAAAACTGTGCAAGACAACACACGAAAGAAGGGCACTCGATGGAGACGGCGGTGAATCTGTTGATTCGACCCCCGCGCAATGAGTACCTGCCCTCCCAATTGGGACCCACCCAATTCACCATCGCTGGTCGACGCTACAAGCGACATGATTTAGAAGTACGTACTGGACCCCTTCCGCCCTTCCACTTCCCAGCCTCCTCACCCACTACTCTCTCCCTCGTGTGGTGCAGTTGGTGAACCCGCGCAACCTGCGGCTCCGCTGCAGCCATTGGGAGCCCGTGGCCGAGGAGCGGCCAAGCAAGCGCATGGGGTGCGTCATCTACCTGCACGGCAACAGCGGCTCGCGCATGGATGCCGCGGAGAACGTCGTCATGCTCCTCCACTCCTTCCGCCTGACCTACTTCGCCTTCGACTTTGCCGGAGCCGGGCAGTCCGAAGGTCTCTGCTTGACCCATCCACCGATCCGGCTCAGCACACATGCAATCGCTAAACGGAGAGTGTGCGTGTCGTGCGTCGTGTGTTGCAGGCAAGTACATTTCGCTCGGCTATCATGAACAGGACGACGTGGCGACGGTGCTGGCCTACCTCAAGTCCACCGACACAGTCTCCAATATTTGTACGTCTCCCGCGTGCGGTGTGTGTATGCGTCTGCTGACGACCAATGATGATTGTTGTTTCTTTGTATGTGTGTAGGTCTGTGGGGACGCAGCATGGGTGCAGTGACGGCGTTGATGTACACGGCCAAAGCCGAGGAGAGGCGCGCGGAAGGCGAGGAGGGGGTGATGGTGCCGGCAACGCTCGTCCTCGATTCACCCTTCGCCAGTCTCCTCAAGCTCATTCCTGAGGTCGTCGACTCTGCTGATGGCAAAGGCCAATATGTACGCACTGCATCCCTTGGTGAGCGCCGACAACAGTCGTGGCTGACGCGACACACGCGACACAGATTAAGCAAATACCGAAGAAGGTGGTGGGCGGACTGCTCGGATTGGGCATCCCGATTCTGCGCAAGGCTATCAAAGCACGCGCCGAGTTCGACATCTCCGACCTCGAGCCCATCGCAATGGCGCCCAAGTGCAGTGTCCCTGCCATATTTATTCAAGGTCTCACGTCCGGCCCCCAGCCACTGCCTGGCAGTGCTCTCGCTAACGCGCGCGGTGCATGTGCAGGTCGAAACGACACGTTAGTACGACCGCACCACACGCAACTGCTGCACGAGGCCTATGGATCGAAGGTAAAGAGGCGGATAATGATCGAAGGTGGGCACAACACGGGCCGAAGCTCGCTGTGCTTCGAGGAAATCTCTTCCTTCCTCTTTTCGTCGTTCTTTGACGACGAAGGTACGACAGCTTCTTCTCTCTTTTCCTTGTCCGCGGTTGGTCACACATTCGAGTACTTATCCTCCGTTTGCACACGACAGAGCGCAAGACAATATCCGGTGTGGATGGCAGGTT